TATTACTGTTGGTCAGAATGTAAATGAGAGGCTGACGCACTTGCCTCATCATCTTACAGATTAAGCAGTTAATCAATTTTGGTGTGATATTCCCCCATGAGGTTTGTGTTGCTGACTCACGTATACTCAATATCTTCTGCCTTCGACAACAAGCAGCCGTGCAAATGAAGCTTGCTCCCAGCTGCGCATTCGCTGGTCGCGCATCCCAAATCCGTCAGCCACTGTATCCTCCTGATGGAAATTACTGCCTTATTGCTTCTTGTTACCTCTTTCCTGAGCATTGGTTGAATACAAACTAGACAATTACAGATGCATACTTAAAAACTAATAGTGAAGATAGTGCCACAGGATTATTCTTTGTGTCATTGGTGGGGTAGCACAGAACTTGTTCCCATGTATTTCCTACAGTATTTGTATTGAGCAGATATTTCTCTAAATATTGTACAGCAAACTTTTATAGTATCTCATCATTTTTTAAGAAAAAAGTACAATTCAAATCATAATGTAAGCTAGAGTAGTTTGGGTAACCACTTTTGATATCACAGAAATCCCAGTTATAATTTTCTCTGTTTATGCAGCAATTAAAATACATAGAATCAAGATCCTATTCCTGACCTTTGGTCTAGTCTTTCAACAATTTATTTAAATTGTAGTTTGGTGCAATCATTATTTTAGGGTTGAACCTTCCCTGTACTTTTTTTAACAAGAAGTAACTGGTTTTGGATTGTCTTTGAAATCTTTATATGATGTTTTTTTCTTCAACTTATTATTTTTTAATATAAAATACTTAATGTTTTGAACAAACTAAGCTTGAGTGAGCAAGAAAGAGGCCCCATCTACCTGATAAACTTGTGTTTTGTCCATTAATTGTTGTGTGTTTCTTATTTAATCTTGTGTTCTGTCAATAAAATCCTGAATTTATGTGCTACAGCCTAGGAAGGAGAGCTAGACGTTCCCATTTCCTCTGTGGTGAGTATTAGATCTCTTTAGCTGTGGCACTGCAACCTGGCTGTAGCAATATAATCTCAGAAAGGCTTTAAATAGTCCAGCCAGCCTTTAAAGCATCCTCTGATCAATAATTAATTTTTTTTTAACATGTCATCAGTTCCTCGCGACCCTGGGGGCATCCTGCCAATTCCTTAATATTTGCACTATAGTACAGAAGCAATTTTTTCCATTGCGTCTCGTTCCGAATTCTGTTATTTACACGGCAGCCCCTTTGAGCAACCATGCTGGTTTGCAGTGCTCAGAGCATTGCATCATTTCGCGTTTTGACCCCGTCCATTGTCGTTAAAGCCTCTCGGTGCCTTGTTCACTTGCCAAAAGTAAAGTCACTTTAATTTTTGTGTCTGCTACTGTCTAAATTAAAGTCTGGCTGTGAGCCATCCTACTTGTAGTAGCACAAGTAATTGAACTCCTCCTTGAAAATAATCTTTACAAGATACGGTTTTGAATTCTACAGTTGACAGTGATCCTGCGGAACAGTGTTCACCCTCCTTTTAATTTCCCTCTCAACTCTCTATATCTCCAATGTGATTTAGAAAAGTCACCTTTAGCCTGCCTCTGAAAGTGAGTAAGAAGTGTCTGCATGTTGTCAAATTCCATTGTTTATTAGTTCAGAAAAATAGTCCTGGTTTGCTTAACTTTGTGGCAAGAGACAATGGTGAGTTTGAATTCCTGTAGATATTGAAGTGGTGCAGAAGTAATATTGGCATAAGCAACAAGCAATACAGGAAGAAGAAGAAGGGACTGCTGGTTTTTTGAGGATGGGATGTAAGGTAATTCTCACACTTGCCATATGCAGTTAGATGAGGAATTTCTCTCCCCTGTCCTCCGGCAGTGAAGAAATTCCACAACATTGGGCACAAAAATACTCTTTTAAATACTTTGCAGTAGGAATGCATAGTTTTCTGTTTGCTTAAGTAGTCTCTTTTGTCCAAAACCTTCATTTGGGAATACAGTATTTAGAAACATTTTTATGTCCTGTACATAGCTAGCAAAACTATCCCAAAAATAAACCTGGTAGGGAAAGCAAGGGGCCATTCTAGATGGTCTTGTGAAACTTTAAGTTAACATTGCAAATCATTATTTGTCACCATCCCTCCTGCCTCAAACCTGCAACCCAAATCTGATGTCAGAATGGTTCACATACTCAGACTTGAAGATGCAGTGAAGAAACAGAACTACTTTTGCCAGCTTACAAGGCTCAGCTTTATATTGTCTTCAGGTTAATAATAACTCTTGTGTGCATGTACACATGCACACAGCACTGTCTGGTAACTGTAAAATCTTCCTGGAAAGATTCTGAATTTGAAGATTTGAGTGGAAAGCGAAGTGCATCTTTTTTCTCATTTCTTCTTTAGAGAGTCTTTTTAGATCTAAAAACATCTGATGTTTTGTCAATGGACTTAGCTGAGGGCATTTGCTCCCAACATGCTTGAAATAGGAAAGGTTTTTTCTTCTTTTTAGGCACAACGATTGTATTGGAGGTATTTCTCCAAAATACAGGGTTGGCCAAAGGAGAAAAAAAGAGGGAGGGGCGGGACATGCAGGATGAAATAAGAGGAGAGGAACACAGAAGTGTATTATTTTTCTCTGTAATGTAGAACCTGGGTGATGTTTGGTTTTACTCCATAAAGTTTTCTGTCTCCAGTGATTGGTGCAGACGCATCTTACTTTCCTAAAGCCTATATCGCTTTGCTGAGAGTCAGGCATGCAACTATCTATTTTACTTCAGTTAAAATACAATCTATCTGCCACTCGATTCTTCTTGCTGTTCAGTAAGATTAAAATGCTCTCTCAAAAATCAAGATCTGCAGACTTAAAAAGTATGCTAAGTGAAAATCTACATATGGACACGTTCATTTCGTGATGCAAATGGCTATTACTCGTGCCTTCTTCATGAGAGCAGCATTGCAATTTGCTTTTGGTGGCTACCTGAATGTTTCTCCATACAAAATCAAAAATCTTGCTAATTTTCCTCTTAAAACATGCCAGTTAGTAAGTTTTTCCCTCTGACCCTGAAAATTGAAGTGAACTATGGATGGAAATGTTTAACTCCAGCGTGATTGGTGACACTTCAACTATCCCTTTAATCTATGAAATACAATTGCCCTTTCGAGTTTGTTTGGGCAGTGGTGGCGTCTCTGCTTGCTGTTATCCATGTACCCAGGTTCTAGCCTGGTGAAGCAAAGAAGAAATGTACATTCCAGACTCCTACAGACAAACTGGAAATTTTAGTCCCGTAATAGCCTGAGGGAATTGCCTATGCTTAAAGCATTTTTTTCCTGAAAATCCTGAGCACTTTAGAAATTCACCTTTCCCTATCCCTCTGGATGTGGGGACTTGGCCATCCTCTTGTCCTTCTAACACCAAGTAGAAGGAAATAGGGGACAGAAATAGGAAGTGTTCCAGCTCTTATCTCACTGCAGTCTACAGTCTGTTGCATTTTATACATTTATTTCCTTCTATTCCTGGCAAGATTGATACTTCTGCACAACTTCGCAGTGCCTGTCAGCATGCCCTGCAGTGTTATACCTGCTGGGTTTGCACCAAAGTGAAATATGGTTGCAAGCTTTCACAGGGGGAGCTAGTAGAAAGTCTCAGCTGTCAAAATTTGTCTTGTTTTGAGCATCTCCCTTCCTGCTTGAAGAGTAGACTGGATGGATAGACTTCAATTTAAAAAGTGGATGTGTAATATCTCAATGTGTATTATACTCAATGAAGTCTTGACAGAAACTCAGCGACCTTGCCAATGTATCCACATACAGGCTGATGTGAGTTCCTCTCCAGGCTCCTTTGGCTTACTTTCAAAATGTGCTTAGTTCTCACCTTCGTGAGAACAGTGAAATGTTACTGAAATTCTATGACCAGCCCTTTTGAGGGACTAGAAAACTAGACTGAAGGTTAGAGGAATTTAGCTGAGACTTGATTAATCTCTTATTTTACTGTGACTGTTTATTTATGACAAACCCCCAAATAGTGAGTGTTGATATGTCCAGACTGGAAAATGAGAAGAATTTAAGTGATGTTTTTGAGGTTTCTTTTTAATAGATCTAGGAATCAAGATTGATTTGTGTATTTTTTTATCTGTATTAATGCTTCTTTTAGCCAAACTGTAGGCAAAACGACTATAAAAAACTATAAAATAGCTTATGTGAATGTGATTATATGCCTGAGATAGGAAATCATTAACTATCACATAGAATAAAAAACTGTTAATATTTTTAAGGACCCAGTATTTATAACATTGCAAAATGTTAATATCTCATAAATACTTGATTCTGGTCAGTAGTTGGTTAATTGCAGCAGATCTAATAGATCTAAATGGAATCAAAAGTTGTTGGTGCTAGAGAAGGACAATTAGAGTAATCCAAGTGGTGGAGCAGTTACCTTGAGAAGAGGCTAAAAAGGCTGGGGCTCTGCCTGAAGAAGTGGGAAAGGCTGGAGGCCTATGGCTTTTTCTAAAATCATATAGGTAGTAGAGAAGTTGAATGCAGTTCCACAAACTACCTGAGACCTGAACTAGCAGGCACTCTCTGTAATGAGTAGAAGGTCAATTTAAGATGGATATTATTTCTTTATGTATTAGTAGCTCCAGCTACTGCTGCTGGGGGGATTTTGCAGGCAGAGAGTATCAGCAGCTTCAAAAAGAGATCAGACAAATTTGTATGAAACGAGCTCATAAAGAAAAACTGACAGGGCATCCCAGGGCATCTGTCCAGTCCCTGATACAATTAGCCTGGGCTCTAAGGACATACAAGGAGAGTGGATTGCAGTAAAGATCAAGCTTATGTATTCTGCTTAAGTAACATCATGTGTTGCTGCTGTTAGACACAAAATACAGACCTGAGCCAGAAAACCATTTTTTGTATTTGTTGTTTTCTGTTCTTTTTTTTTAAATCAACTATTCGTTTCTAAAGAACCACTTTTTTTTTTCCATACAACCATACAAATTACACCAATTTATTTTCAAATGACCTATCTAAAACTCACAATAGATGTAATTTCTTGTTTCTTTCTTGTTTTACAGTGAATAACCCTATACCTTCCAACCTGAAGTCAGAAGCTAAAAAGGCAGCTAAAATATTAAGAGAATTTACAGAAATAACTTCCAGGAATGGACCTGATAAAATCATACCTCGTGAGTAAAGAAAATGATTTGGTTAAATCTTTCACTTATCCAGGTCTCCGCTATGTTGAAATTCTGCTTTCTTTACCAATGCCTTCTGTTTTTGCTGATACTGACTTAAAGAGGAATGAAAACCTGGAGCCCAGTAACAGAAAATATTTTGAAAGTAAAGGTGTTTAGTTTGCTGTGTTCTAGGAAGGCATTAGTTCCTGAGTGAGATTGCTTGCATGTTTACAGTCATAGTGTATCAGCAGAGGAAACTTTCTCTCCGGGGAGAGCGGGGTCTTTTGGGTTCATGGTCTGAGTATGACCATGTTTCTCAAAGAAAAACCCCTGGTAGTAGATACAATTATTGAATATCTGTTCATCAGAATTAGCAACATGAGAATTAGTGGAAGGAAACAGATCATTGTACTTTTCCACTTTGAGAAAGGCAAGCACTCTTACTTGCTGCTGTCCTTTTTATTTCTGAAATTGTTATTCTGAGCTTCTCCTAGAGTCCTCCTCCATCCGGTGCTGCTGGTTGTGGTTTTGAATTTTTAACTACTGTGTTCTAAAAGATCCATAATATGACTTGCGGGATGATCACATTTTATTTGACACAAACACTGTCTAATGGAATAAGCTGATTAGGCTGCTCTGTGTCACTGTGATTTAAATTCAGACTTCTGTCCTCCGAAAATCCATAGAGACATGGATGTCAATTCTTCACGACCCTTTTGTTTTGCTACGGGTATATTTGCATGCAATGTTCATGGCAATAAACAAGCTAATGCCGTATGAACTAGCTGGGTAGCTGCAGACGCTGCTAACTGGGTAGCGTCTGAGCTGTGGCAGTGTCGGGGTCAGCGGAAACTAATGTAACCTATGTCTAGCTTTATGGAGGTGCCAGTATTTTCTCTTTTTTTTTTTTTTTTTTCTTCCTTATGGTTTTCTTCGAGCTTTTGCTTTGATTCTTTGACTCTATTTTCAAAATCATTGAATATACTTTTATTTTTCCTTTCCCTGGTTTTTTTCTTAAAAGATTCTTATTAAATGATTCTATTGTTGCAGCCCATGTAATAGCTAAAGCCAAAGGCCTTGCAGTTTTGTCTGTTATCAAAGCTGGATTTTTGGTGACTGCTCGAGGAGGAAGTGGGATTGTATTAGCTCGTCTTCCAGATGGAAGTAAGTGAATGTTTTTTTCAGTACTTCATGGGATTTTTTTTTTTCTCACAGAATACAACATAAGACATGTAAAGAGTCAGCCTCGTGGGCAACATTTGGTTGGAAAGTTATTTTCAAAATTTTGTACCTATTGCTGACCAAGTATAAGTACTTTCAGTATCTTTATAGAAATATATGTGAACTTCATAGTGTAAGTGAAGCACAAAAATATATAGTTTAAAACTCCTTAGAAAAATGAACAGTGTCCAGTAATGAGCAACCTTATGATAAAGACTTTGCATACAGAAGGATTTGTACTTTTTACTTTCCTACTGTTTCTCCTAAGCAGGATGGTTATTTAGAATCTACATCCTAGTAGTTATGAATCGTGTTTTAAATAGAAAACTTTTAGCATTTTTGAACTCTAACAAAACTCCCATTAATTTGTGTCTTGTTTTGTGTGTTAGCCTGGTCTGCTCCTTCTGCAATAGGAATTGCTGGCCTTGGTGGTGGATTTGAAATCGGAATTGAGGTATAACTTTACATATGAAATACTTGTTAACAACTGCTTTTAGTAAGAAATTAAAATGTATTGACAAAGATCTAAATGTCTGCAAGGTATTGAAATCTATTTTTTTGTGAAAATGAACTATTATAAAATTCACTTATATAAGCCAAACAACATGTGTTTTTGTTGTTGTTTGTTTCTTTGTTTTGTTTTGATCATATCAATCTAATTGCTTGGAGATATTTAAGTAAAAATAAGTGACATAACATGTATTTCCTTGATTTCTCACTTCTAGCAGACTGATTTTTTTCCTTATGAAAAAATTCAATCAGTGTTTACCTATAAGCCAATTGGAATTGCTTTTAAGTATGCTATATTTAATATTGTATCAAATGCTCTGTTAAAGATCGGCCAAGGATTCCATGTTTAACGAGACAGTGAAAGAAATAGAAGGTAAAATGGGTTGTATGTAATACTTTGGTACTTCATGTGGTTATTCTCTACCCAAGCTTAATTATTGATTTTACTCCTCACTTTGGGAGCATCAAAACTGACAGTAGCTCCTCTGAAGGAATCCTGCAGAAAAAGAGCCCATTTTCAGACAGTAAAAGCAGTCAAACAAGGGACTAACACACTCAGACGAATCCTGTTGATCTGAACCCTGACAGCTCTGCTTCTGATCCCCTTCTCTTCTAACTTGCAGTTTCTTCATCCTGTTTGTTTTCATCTGTTCCCTTCTTCCTCGTCCCTATATTCTTTCCCATCCTCCCCCTTCATCCTGTTTGTTTTCATCTGTTCCTTGTCCCATTCTTCCTTGTCCCTATATTCTTTTCCATTCTCCCCTTTCCCATTTAGAATATGTAGTCTACTAATTGAAAGGAGTCGCTCTCCAGGAGAGAATTAGATGTAGGGTCATGCTCTGGCTAAGGGCCTTTGCCGTTTGGGAGAATCCCTGCATGGCCAATCTGTGTGGCAGGGCCAGCCCCTGTGCAGCCCGTCCTGCAGCCCCCGAGGACTCGCGTTGCCAGCGCCCGGGCAGTGCTCTGTGCTCTGCTGTGTCCTCCTTCTGCGCTGGGTGATCTCAGGCTTTGTTACTGTGCGCGAGTGAAAGCTGCTGTGAATACAAATTATTAATTTTTGTAAGGGCTTTTCTTTGACTTTCACAACTGCAGCCTCTGCATGTATTACCAAACATTAATGAGTTTGAGTCCAAGAGTTTTATGCTTTTTTCCGTTGTGGCAAATGAGAAAAAAAATCTACTCATGCTTTGATCAATGAAACTTTTCCTCTCATTATCTCCATCTAATATTTTAGGAAATGTAACCATTTACTATTGATTTTTACTGAAATAATTTTAAAACACAGAAGCTAAATCTGAGAGGACTTCTTTTCTGAACACTGTTGTGTCCTTAGTTTGATATTTTAGTAATTCAGCTTTACAAAGTACTGTTTCCATACTAGCATTATTGTAACATGTATTGTATTTTCCTCTTCTAGGGAATAAATATTATTCAGAAATATCTATGTGACTTAGGAGCCTATATTCCAGTTAAGCACTGTTCTAGCCATTTATTAACTTAAACTTTTGGAAATTGGATGAATTTTGTTCCTGTAGGACAGATTTTGACTGAGTAGTGGTATTTGTGGGTGTTTTTAAACTGTAAGAAAGGAATCACAGATTTTACAAGTCATAGTACTTGTGTGTTCTTCACAATAAAATAATTTGTTCCTCAAATTAAACACTGATATTAAAACTTATCTGAATGCTTTCAATGTAGTTTTTCTCTGCAATGAAATGTGGATTCATTTAGCTTGTTCTTTAAGCAAAGGTTCAGAACATTGTTTTTTATCAGAGAAAATACTATAAAATTTGATTTTCAGGATTATCTTTGTGGGTAACAAAATCAGAATCACACAGAATCCCAGATAATGTTGTCACCCCGTTTCTGGCAGATTCAGAAGCTGGTAGCATCAGCCATTTTTTGTTTGGAACAGGGTGGGGGTTACCATGGGGCTAATAACAAAGAGCTGTTTTACTCTGTGTGTACTCGTGGGTCATCCCCTCTCCGTGTTTTTTGTTTTTTTTTTTTTTTGGTTTGGTTTGGTTTGTTTTTTCAAATAATGTAGTATTTCTTTTCATGTTCCTTGCTGTCACTTTTTGGAATATGGGGTAAGTTGAAAATTTTTATGAAGCCTGGTTTCAGTCAAGTCAGTCTGGTGAAGGATCAGGCACAGAGACCTTGTCTACCCAAATTAGACAAGCTCTAACTTGAACTTGGATCACAATGAGCCTGTAAGGCTGTAATCCTCAAATTCTGAAACAGATGGTGCTGCGTCAGTCCCAGATGTGGCAATGAATTCATTTGTCAGGTTTTTGAATTTTATTTTAATACATGTAATACATTTACTGAACTTTCAAATGAAGGTAATGATCCTTATAGAGCCATGCTTGTGTTTGAAAGACTTCTTTTTCTATCTCTTCTTCTCTTTAGAATGCTTCTTAGTTTGGGAAGAGAGTTGTAGGACTCTTCTATTGAAACACAGTGATTTTTTTTCCATTTTTGGAATATTCAAATGAAACTTACCTTGTTAGCTCTCCAGAGATTTGCTTTAATAATTTATTGAAGAAAAGGGCTAAATGTCCTAAGATTTGTATATAGTTTTCTTATGTCTTCAATTATATGTTAGAAAAATGAAATTCTCTTGGTAATGAGAAAATCTGTGTTTTATTTTGTTGCCGCTTATTCTTTGGACAGACAAATAGGTAGTTTTTGCTTAATATATCCTTTGCCATTATTATTACTTCAATTGTGGAAAGCTAAAAAAAAATGATATTCTTAATCTGATCTCTATTCACATCTGAGAATGCATTTACACTTGTTTCTAAAAGCTATACCGTATAAAAAGTTGTTAGTGTTCTGATAATCAGGATATCCTATTAAAACTGCAGAACTGAAAAAAAAAATGGTTTTTAGTTTCAAAAAGTCTTGCAGAAAAAGAATCAACTTTGTGGATACTTTTTCAAAAGAATTATTTGCAAGAAACCTGAAAGAATGAGAGTAGAATGAGAGATTCTAACTTCCATTAAAAACTTAATAGATTTGTAGTTACTTTTTATTTGGAGAAAGGAAATATCTTGTGTGATTCCACACATTTTCCCACAAAACAAAAAATTCTTCTCTCAAGCAATTCTGACTGTCTTCTCAAAAAGCACAATATTTTTATTTGATATTTTTATAGGTTTCAGACTTAGTAATAATATTGAATCATGAGAGGGCCGTAGAAGCTTTTGCCAAAGGAGGCAATCTTACCCTTGGAGGAAATCTTACTGTGGCAATTGGACCTCTGGGGAGGTGAGTAAAATACTGTTCTAATGTTAAGTCAAATTAAATATGAAAGACAGTTTCTAAAGCTGCTTAAGCATTCATAGGGTTTTCTTTGATATATTCGGATAAGCTGTGCAGCCTGTATGTTGACTTGAATGTGTTGTTTTGCCGTGTCTCTTCAGTCTGTGTTGCTGCCTTTTTTATATAAAGGCATTCACTGGCAGAGACAACCTGTGCTGAGGTTTGTTCTCTCTTTAATGTCTGCTCTTTGAGCAAATTAGATGGATGCAACTTTTGCAAGAGAGTGTTGAAGGCTGGTCTCAAATGAGGAGCATAGGTGATACAGTGTCTGAATTACTATTTTCATTGAGCACATGTTATTTTCCCTGGGCACGTGCTTCCTGTCATGTCAGTCTAACTGATAGTAATTAAAAGAAAAAGTACACCAAATAATTACTTTTGAAGTTTAAATGTGTTAGGTCAGCTCAGTGTGAAGGATCATAGAAAATTTAATTTGCAAGGACCCCAAGGAGATCTGCAGTCCAACCTCCTTCTCTAAGTGAGGTCAGCTATGAGATCAAAGTTGCCCAGGGTTTTATTCCAGTCAGATCTTGAAAGCCTCCAAGGATGGAGATTGCACAACCTCTCTGGGCAACCTGGTCCACTGCTTGGCTGTTCTCAGAATAAAAAAATTACACCTTATGTCCTATCAAAAGCACCTTTTGTTTCAGTTTATTACATCTTGTCCTTCCACTCTGCATTGCAGTAAAGAGCCTGGCTTCATCTTGTTGATGTTCGTCTTGTTGCCATAGGTATTGGAAGACTATTGTTAGGTCTTCTCAATCCTGGTCTCTTCATGCTAAAAGAACCCACTTTCCTGAGCCCGGTTTCCCTCATCCTCTTCTCATGTTGCATTTGCATCCTTATGTTTTTGTTCTTATGATGAAGCTTTTGCTGACATTCATCATCTTGATTCATACAATGAATACCCATTTCACAGACAAAGATTGTGGATGTGGGGAGGGTAGTGGATATCATCTGTCTTCATGTGTATCCAAGTTGGGGCATTATGGTTTAGAGGAGGATCTAGCAAAGGGGTGAGAAAACAGATCATCAGATTGAAAGAGTAGTGATAAATGATTCATACTCTACCTGGAGGCCAGTTACTTGCAGTTCCTCAGGAATCTACTCAGGGGCCTCTTTCATTTCTTCTCTTTATAAGTGACCTGGGGGAGGAGAGGCATTATACCCTCTTCATGTTTGTGGATGACTCCAAACCGGATGCAGTCAATACACTTCAGGACAGGGCCATCACTCAGAGGATTCCAGACAGTGGAAAGATCCAGTAGGAAACCTTGTGAAATTAAACAAGAAGAGATGTGAAGTTCTGTCCTTGGGTTGGATTAACCCTCTGCAGTGGTGCAGGCTGGGGCATCACGGGCTGAGTAGCTGCTCTGCCGAAGGCGCCTGTGGAGCAGCACAGGTTCCTCGTGAGTCAGCAGGGCGCCCTGACCATAGGGGCACTGACAGCAAAGGGGGCTGTGTCAGCAGAAAGGCAGGGAGGGATCCCTTTGGCACCCTACAGACTGGACCCAGAAGGTTGTGTCCAGTTTCAGTCGCATTGTACAAGGTGTGGATGAACTCGTGTGTGTCCACTGCAGTGTAACTAAGATGACCACATATGGGGCGTATGTGAACTCTGAGGTCAGCATGGGAGCAGGGCTTGTTTGACGTGGAGAGGGAAAGGCTTCGGGGCACCTAAGAGGCTGCGTTTCCAAGACCAGATGACTCATGAGATGCTCTTTGCTGAGGTGCCTGGGTGCCTGGCAGGAGAACAAAAGAGAGTAGTCATAAATTGAAACATGGGAGGTCCTGACTAGATATTAGGGGGGAAAAAGTCACTGTGAGTATAATTAAGCATGAAAACAGGTTGTTCAGAGTATCTGTGGAATCTACATACTTGAAGGTTTTCAAAAACTAGTTGAACAAAGTCCTGAGC